CACACACACACACACACACACACACACACACACACACACACACACCTCTATTAGCCAGGGTTTAGCGGAAGCTGAACAGTATCCAAAGTCCACAGGTATCCATCATTTTTATGGCAGGGTTCAGTGCCGGGTCAGCATTGATTCTCTGCTGTATGCATGCACATCTTTTTAACACCTATTTGTGGTAGTATTTTATAATTCCTAGAAAACATATAAGCATCAAACTAGAGGCTAAAGTTTGCAAACAAACTTTGATGTTGGCTTGAGAAAGCCTGAATGGACAGCCTGAGTCAAAAGAGCCAAATCACATATCAGTTCGGAGTTCTGGAGCTGGAAAATGGTTTATTCACAGTGCCATGTGTTTGCTAGCGTCCTTTATATGGTTGCTAGGGCATGACTAGACAATTGCCAGGGTGATACCTGAAGCCTGTTAACAGTCCGAGTCAAAAGAGCCAACTCACAAATGTTTTTTTTTTTAATGCAGAGATATAGCTTATTCGTTGTACTATATGGTTGCTAGGGTCCTCCTCTAAATGGTTGCTAGGGTGTGGCTAGGCAGTTGGTATGGTGATATCGAAAGCCTCTTAACAGCCCGAGTCAAAAGAACCCACCCCCATGTCTTCATGTTGTTCAAATGTAGAGATATAGCTTGTTAATTTTACAATATGGTTGCTAGGGTCCTCTAAACGGTTGCTAGGGCATGGATTGTGAGGATGATATTTAAAAGCGAGTCAAAAGAGCCCAAACCCACGTCTCTACTCAGCTAATTGGGAATGTTATCACAACTTTTAACATTGTAAGAAATGTTTTTGTAACCTTTAAATGATGTTCAATTCACTACAAGAAAACTGGATATTTTAACAATCTTATAATATTACAAATAAATGATAGAATGGTGTAACCTTTACATACAGTAACATTATAATCACAACAAGAAGACTGGACAATTTAACATTTTAGAAACATTTCAAAACAATGTTCCCAAAACAGTCAGAAATGTAGCTTGTTCATTTTACTATATGGTTGCTAGGTTGCTTTAAATGGTTGCTAGGGTGTGGTTAGGTAGTTGTCAGATATTTAAAGACTACTTATCAGTCTGAGTAAAAAAAAAATAAAAAAGCCAACACGCTTGTCTTTTACGATGTTCTGATCCAGAGATTTTCCTCTCATCCTTGTTCAATGGAAGTCTATGGGGTGGTTGCTAGGGTGTGGTTCGGAGGTTAGGGTGTCACTATTTATAGTCTGTGTGCTTTATAGGCTCCCACCCTGAAGTCTCTGTGAGATATGGGCACACAAATTATTTTGCAAATGCAAGTCTAAAACATCAGAAAGAGATTTAAGGTTTTAGACTTAGGTTTAAATGATGTTTCTTGTTTTTGGATGTTGTCAATGGACCAGTTAATTGTTTAGACATTTTCTTTCAACAGGACTTCTTAATGTCCACCTCTGAATCAGATTAAATCCAATTATTTGTCTACTTTTTTAACAAGGGCAAATTCGCTATAAACTAGTTTTGGTGACTTTCATGCTGGTTTTATCATGCCTACAGTGGTTAAGATGTACAGCCTACAACAAGCTACCAGTAACAAGCTATCTAACACCAGTTAAGACCATCTTATGTCTTATGCACAGACATACAAGTATAGGCCCAATAGTTCCCTAATTTTAACAAGATAATTATGTATAATATGATCTCACAAGCTGTATATTAACAATTGCATTGTATTTTATACATACACTCTAAAAAATGCTGGGTTATTTTATTTTTTTAACTCAAATGCTGGGTTCAGCTTGTTGGGTCATTTTATTGGGTTGTATTTAATATTTTATTACCCAGGTGCTGGGTAGTTTTTCTGTAACTAAGTTGCTGGGTCATTTTTAATGCTGGGTTATTTTTTTCCTACCCAATCGCTGGGTTGAGCCTGTCTCCGATGAAGCAACCCAGCTGCTGAGTTACAGTCAGATCGCAGGCTTTTTGAGTCCACAGGAGAGAGCGGTTCTCAGCGCTGCCGATTTGGTGCACTTCTTCAGCGAAATAAATACTTTTTATTTCATTTATAAAGACTTTACTGTGCTATAAATGTTATTATTTTATGCAATGCAACATAAAGACGAGTGAACATTCAGCTACGAGTGAAACGCGAGGTCGCGGTCTGAAGTTCGCAGTTCCCCCGGCGATCGGCAGCCCTTCACCGGCTCAGATTTCGGTGACACACCGGCATGAGAATTAACACTATTTTGGTGAAAAGCGATTACAGAGAACGGTTGAATACACTTAAATTAAA